CACACACACACACACACACACACACACACACACACACACACACACACACACACACACACACACACACACACACACACGTTGCATTTACAGGTAGAGATCTACATAGTCACCACCACCCCCCAAAAATACATAAAATAAATAAATAAATAAATACATTGCATTCCTGATGTAGCACATATGATACAAATTTAAAGTCAAATATGCAAATTCTTTTTTTTCATCAGATGGGTCACTAAACACTTAATTTTTTAAAGAAATCTGAATTTTCTGGCAATTATTTTATGGTTCAGGCTTTAAGGGAAGTAAAAGCATGGAAACCTACATGAGGCCCTAACCTTCAAAATAAAGTGTTTTCGAAGAGGGACAGGAGCAAAATCACACAGGCAGAGAGGCAGAAAGGAACCAAGAACTTGCAGTTACTAAAAACCTAAGCATTAATGTCACTCAGCACAGAGAAAGACAACTAATAACTAACAATAACATCATGTACATTGACAAGAACCAAGACCACCAAGTTCAAGGTCACTGTGGATTTATGTTTCATAAAATAGTTATCAATAAAGTCACGATGAATGGCTAAAAGGGCTCCACAAAGGCACAGAATGTCAAATAGAGTGACATAAACCAACAACAGGTGAAATAATGATTACTGATGTTGAATGATGCAGATTACTTATCAAATGACATATAGGTTACAATTAAGTGCTTAGTCTGTGACCTCGAAGTGTCTTTTGTTGTAAAGCTGTAGTCCTCTGTCCATCCAAACCAGACTCTCACCCTTATGTAGCTTGTCAGTGTTATGTTGCTTATGGGCTAACTGTGCCCCCTTATGAAAAATAAAAATTCAATTATAATTCAAAAGTACTTCTTAGCTGGTATGACAAGTATGTGTCTGATTGTCTCCCTTTGAGTGGATGTGACATTCCTTTTCCAGGATTTTGATGTATTTGTTTTTTCTTTCTAACAGGGATGATGTGCATTAATAAACATTGCAGTAAATGTCCCAGAGTTAACCATAGGCTTGTTTTCTTCTGTAGCGCTTGGCCAGATCTTAAAAAGGCTGTTTAAAAATAAAGCAATATAATATCGACATTGTACAAATAATCAATAAGCAATGTTTTGTAAGCATAGAACGTCTTTCTGCTGCTTTTTATATGACCACCTTAAATTAAACAAATAGATAAAAAAAAACAAACAGATAAAGCATTTAATGATGGAGTTAAACTATTTTATTGACAGCTGGAATAGAATAACAATACACCAAATTGTGCATTTACTCAACAATATAACGGTTTCCCAAAGAATCTGCAAATATATGTGTTTTAAATGACAGCGCAGTGACTAAAACTAAAGTTACAACATTTTGTCACTCTTCTGATAACATTCAGGACTTCAAGTCAGTAAAACATGAGCAACAAATGGAAAGCAATGCATATGGACTTTTGCAGCTTTTTTGTACTTTAATGCTAACGATTGTTAATGCTATTCTACTGGAATAAAGTAAATTAAAAAAATGCAATATACTTACAAATCAGTATTTCAAATATTTAAACAGATTGGCAATTCTTAAAATATGGCGTTTAAACAGATACCTGGTAAAATACCTTACTGTTACGGCTGTTAATGTTCTAGTAGCAAAAATTGCAAGTGCAACAATAAAGACAATGAAGAAAGAAAATGGATAGGTTTATTTATCTAATGAAAGTGTAGCTGACAAAAACAATTTTTCCCTGGATAAATGCTCATCACTAAGGAAAACTTTTCCAGTAACATTGCTTCCAGACGTTGCCCATATTACATGTCCTTGAAAACATAAGAAGGCCTGTAAAACTGTTTTATACTACGCATCTTAAAACCAAAACATCGCCTTCCCTTATTATGTTAGGGGTCTTGGGAATATGTATGGTTTAGACAATTCTCATATGCCTTTAGAAGACATCACCACATGATTTAAAGAATAGAATTTAAGGCTGTGAATTTTTTAATATGATGGCTTTGTATCACTGAGGAAATAAAACAACCATGTTTGCAAAACAGTGAGTTAAGACTTGTGTAGAACTGAATGACTGAGATATGATCTAGAAAGATGAGAGCTAAATCTACACCAAACAGTCATAAAATAAAAACAGTAACAACAAAATAGAACAAAAAAAAAGCAAAACAAAACCAAAAGAAAAGAAAAAAACAAAGTTATGATTTCTCATGGCACTTTGATTCTCACTTGGTTCACCGAACTGTGTAATGTATTAAGTCATGGTAATATGAAATGCTTTGAACGCGATAATCTACCAGATGGTGTGTGAGGGAAAACATTTATGAGGGTTAGTTTTGGGCTGTGAGGCAGTTGGAGACTCTAAGAAGGACAGAAATAAAGCTTGTGGATCGCTGTCTCTGCAGCACAGCGGACTGGAGGAGATGTGTTGCTTTTGGGATCCACCAGCCACTGTTTCATAATAGCCACAGAGGAGCAGCATCTTCCCTTTCATCCACCCACTCATCCACCTCTTCCCTGTGAGAGAACATAATTTGATATGTCGAGAAACATACACACTGTCACTCTAAAGAAAACGATTCAAGGAGTGCTTGCTTTCTTTCTAATGAGTAAAATCTCATGTACTTCAGAGGGGAAAGATATGGCTGATTTGAGCAGATAACAGAAATTTTTTTCTTTTCTTCTTCAAAGGTAAATCTTTCCAGTGTCACTTTTAGGTTGATCTGCAAAAACAGACACAGACTTAACCCATTGTACACCAAGGTTAGCTCGGTGTTTTATTGACTACTACATGAAAAAGTAGTTCTCCAGTTTACACATATTGAAGCTATTTGCTGACATTTAAACACAAACTACATAATCTCTGTCAAAATGGGCCAAAACATTAACTATGTTTTGGCCTAGTTTAATTTACAATTTAAGTAAGAGATATTAGTCATTATTAAGGATGTTTTGTTTACCTCAAAATTTTGGAGGATTCCACTGAGGTCATAAACCCTAGGCATATACGTTTTATCACTACAACTTGGTGTTGGGCCTAAAAGACTCTTGGCATAGTGGTCATTTATCGCTGACACAGCACACTTAACCACACCAGACTAGCATTCTGTGCTGAGTCTTTAGAAAGTATGCATTTTTCTGACAGTCCAAAATATCCCCAAATGAATTGTATTATTGAATGTACTTAATATTCAGTGCCACAAGCTGTGCTTGTACATTATATCATCACTAATCTTATCAGCTGCTTAGCAGCAGAAAGTCTGGCCTGCGAGGAAGCATAATATTCATATTTGACTTTTTATTTTATTTTAAAGAATGTGATTTTTTTAAGAATTTGTTTTCAACTGTCTCGACATATCTGCTCTTGATTGATTTATTTTTAAAGTTAATATAAATAAAGACCGAAGGAGCACATGACTCATCTTAATATACTACTGTTTGCTATAACCAGGTAAATGGCAGTTTATAATGTGTAAAAGCCAGCAGCAGCCAAAGGAGCAGGTATGTAAAAATTACACCCTAAAAAATATGAGCAAAAACACACAAGAAGCTTAATACGTGTAACAAAATCGTTCCCCTACAGTTTTCTTCATTTCTTGGGCATTGGTCCCAAATGGCACCATGTATACAATTAAGTACCGCTAATGTATAAAAAGTAAGGTCTGGTTTTGCAGAATTACAACCTTAACAGTGTAAAAGGACCTCGGCAAGATAGGATTAGTGGGGGCTTTTTGTTTTGTTTAAACACCTCATTTGAAACATAAAAGTAAAACGAGGTGCATCCAAACATCAACAGATAAACAACAGCACAGTTTAGAAAATATGTTTTGATAAGAAATGGGTCAAAATGGTTGAATCTATCCTGTAAAATATGTTTTTATTGTTTTATTATTAGTAGTTTTTTTGCTCAATTTGTTCATTTGTTCAGTATATCAGAAATTCATTAAGAACATATGTACAGATTTCTATTTCCATAGATGACACTAAAGTTGTTTTAAATAATGGATTGAAATGTCTTTTTCTCTCTTTTCTTGCCCTGCGTTGATCACTTAGTGTGCCAATTCTCATTCCTTAGCCCTGGCAAAAATGTGTATTGTGTGTTTAAGGCCTCTACTTACATTACAATTGATAGAAGTACACAATTAACATCCAAGTGGCAGACACAATCAAAACATGGAGGAATGCAAAAACATACATTTTTGGTCCTGAACATGTCAACAATAACATTAACAGACTTCATCAGGTCAATCATTTGCCTTCAAAATTACACAGTGTCACTGACTAACTCAAAGTGATGAAGACGAATCATTGCATGAGAAAATTTACACAATGATTATTAACAGTTACTCTTAATCCTGGTAAGAAGGCTGGCATATAAACTGTCTCTCAGACACTTACAGAATTATTATTATTATTATTATTATTATTATTATTAACAATATTATTATTAATATTAATATTAATATTATTCGAATAATAAATCATACCCCAAATTCACACAAATGACTGCATCTGTAGACGTCATAAAAACCCCATTATTTTACTGCATGCATCGCACACTACTGCTGTCATGTTTCTCCACTGGAGAGGGGAAATTTTGGGAAACTTGTTTAAAGTTTAATATGGTACAGTTAACAATTGTCTCTTTGATCAATGCTTTATAAACATCTGTTCCTTTATGTTGCACAGGGAGTGGCTGCAGGTTAGAGATAGAGAGGTGGGAAACTTCAGTGATGTTTTTTTACATCACTCCTGGCTGCCATTAGATAAATCTAGATCATTTGGATGCATGCATCCTGCTTATGGCTTGGTGAACAACTGAATCCCAGTTTTGTGAAACTGGCTTTCATTGAATCAAAACTGGGAAAACAACCCATTACCCATCAAATATCTAATCTAATCTCTGTTTTGGCACAAAAAGCACTAATACAAACACATTCCTTGAGTGAAAGTAAGGGGAATTCATTATTTTATATCTAATTATATATTAATTTTATATATTTGTATATATGTATGTATGGTACATACAGAGTTCTAACACTTTTTTACAGATATAAGACACTACATGACAGTTTTGTTGAAAAAACATTGAAAAAAATAAAATGACTGGAATTTTTGGATTTTTCTGGAAGTGATTTTCAGTTTCTGCATTCAATGTCATTTGTCCGCACATGCAACAAATGGACACGTTAAGACATTTTTTTTCAAAGTAAAAGTTTGGAATTGCACATTTAAAAAAAAAGAAAAGTCCCTTTATGCCTCATGATGAATTCAGTTGTTTTGTTTTCAATGATGAATCTTACCACAGTGAAAATCACTACTTACTCATGTCATTTTTCTGTCAAGTAACAGACAAATACAGTGAGTGGATGCTTTCTGATTATTGCTTTACAGAATTTTGTTAAACAGTTTGGAACTAAATGCAGCATTAATATCCCTGCAACACTGCTACTGGCAAAAGAGAGGCAATTTTAGAGGCCCCTTTTTAGAGTAAAATTGCCCCAAATTGGGTGATTTGATTAAATTAAAAGCAGATTTAATAAAAATTTGGTTCTGAAATTTTCATTCAAAGTAAAAAAACCCCCCAAAAACAATAAATTAATTAATGAAATAAACTGGCTTAAAATCTTCATATTAGAATGTTTTATTAATTTAGAAAAAAAAAACAATTAGTCACCTTTATCATTATCTAAATACATTTGCTACATATTTTGACCCCCACTATCATTGGGTCTTAACCCAATGTACTGTATTTCACTAGTCTTCCTGCTGTGTAGCATGTAGTTCATGCTTAGTCTTATCAAGTTGTTTGTTAATTAGAAGTTTAAATTAGTCATGCGAATGCTACCAGCTAATGCTACAATCTTACAGTAACTAACAAGAATATCACTTCCCTCTTTCAGAGCTTTGACATTAACCACCTCAGCCATGATAAGTTAACTTTGGCTCACTCCAGAAGACACTAACAATATTTACACATAAAAAGACATTAAGAATCATAAAGTGCCCAAATGAAATACATATGCTTTTGCGTTTCAATAAACTATGAATTTCTCTACAGTGTGCGCATTGTGTTTCCTTTAATTCCACCTATTTTTGTGTCCTTTTCTGAAGTCCACAAAACCTGACGCCAGTCCACTCAGATCCTTTGTTTGGATGATGCAAAGTACATTTCATGCTTCCTTCCTCTCTTTCCTTTTTTCCTCTGTACTGAGTGGTAGCATGGCTAATCACCAGGTGCCTTGACGTTCTGTGGATTAGGACTGTAATTTAGAATAAAGGGGGTGATTCTCTGCACAGCCTGAATGTTGCTGTCAGATGTTATAAGTGGTTGTTTTTGTGCCTCCCTCATAATGGCACATGCCGCAAGGTAATTGAAGAAAAGGAAGAAGAAGACACTTGCTGGTAAAAATTGGCACAGTATAAACTGTTATTAGACAACTGTTAGCCAACGCTTTAAAAATAGCGGGGAGGAATCTATTTCTACAGTATTAGCTAAAAAGAAACTACACTTAAACTGGGATGTATAGCAATGTGTTAAGTCAGTGACGTCAGATTGCTATTGCATTTGCTTGTTGTTTGTCAGTGCTACAGCTCAGATACAAAACTACCTCCTGTATTCCATGTGAATGTGGAATGTGAAAACTATATTAAACTAAATAAGAGTAAAACACCTTCAACATGAGCCCATTAAACCCTGGTTGTTTCTTGCCAGGCGTATGTAGATGGTGTCCTCATAAAGGTTAACATAATTTAATCATGCTAAGATCATGCATTTATGGTTATTTGGTTTGAATTCTAATTCTAATCTAATACGATATAATGCATGCATAAAATCCAATTTAGTGTGGTTGTGAAACTATCAAACTAGCATTTTCATAACGATATTCAAGAGGAAGGAGTCAAATGTTTTCACATATCACACCGCCTGAAGTGATTCAGGTTGGTGGACTTTGATTACATCTGGTGCCATACTCTGGAAATCTCTAATTGAACATAATCGGTGTGCTGTTGATTCAAGAAACACCCAGCTATTTTTTTTTTAAACCCAAAGGATACATGTTTTTATGTGCTTGATTCCAGACACAACAGTAACTGATGTGATTGAAAAGCACCTTCCAAAAATGGTGACAAAACAATCTGCAAAATCAGCTAATACCAAGATTCATTGCAATTTAAAAAGTACATGCTTTGGGGTTATAATGAGACACGTTTTTTTTTAAAACTCATAATGTGGTAGTTCTTCTTCTAAGCCATATAAATTCACTCTTTGTCCACTTTATACCTTGTATTCCAGGTAAATGTAGTTAACAGGAGAGAAAGCCAGGACTAGCCCTGACCCACAAAATCAGGTCCAAATCTTCATCCTTCCAGTAGATGATGGGGGTTTCATTCATATTTCTACCTCTCAGATTCTCTACATTTTACCAAATAAAGTGAACAATGATGGGCCAAACGTGTGACACAAGAAATGTAATACAGGTCAAGTGCTAAAAACCAGGTAATGTCTTGGTCAGTTACAACACTTAACTTTATATTTTCTTTGAAAGCCTCTCAAGTTGCTATGCACACATTCATTCGCCATCAATGCTCCCTCAAAATGAGATGGTGGTTTGTCAAACAATTTGAGGACAGTCTCACTTTCTCCTAGGACTCGTGGGTAGACAATAACACTCAGAAGCTGCCCAGCCCCTTAATGAAGACACAGAAAGACAACAAGCAGTCCTGGGATGGGGAATTGAATGTAGGCTGTAAAGAAGGGCTGTAGCTGAAGCGAGCTGAGCCTGGAGTCTATCGTGGTCCCAATAGGATGTAATCAATGTCGGCAACCAAACCCTTCTTTGAAGTATCCTCATTAAGAAGGTTTTTGTTTTTTCTTTATAGAGCTCTGAAGAGAAAAAAAAATTCCTTCAAGTCTGAGGGGCGGTCGGTTGCAACAACAAAAGAAATGTACTTCCCATGAGTCTCGGGAAATAGTCTGATACAATATCAAAGAATTATAACACATTTCCAATGAGAACCAGCATGACCAACTGGTTTGTAAATTGATTTCCAAATTAGGGAAGTGATTCATTCCCCAGTGTAGCTGGGCCTGTCGAAGTAGCCTTGAGTGAGATACTTTACATCTACCTGCTCCAGGGACAGCACTGCCTGGCTGACCCAGGTGCAGCAATGCAGGGATTACAAAAACTCTGTACTTGGTTGAAGCAATGGAAACTTAGCCGCAACATCAAAACTATACATTTCTGCGTGAGTCTTATGATCGCTCACAACAGGGCCCAATGGTGCTCTCCAATGACATCTGGGATGAATGGCGGATGAGTGGTGCCATTGTTGGATCCACCATGGAGGAGGTAGGGAAAAGCTTGTACCAGCCGATAACCATTGTGCTGAGGTCCAGCTCCTCCAGTAGGATTCGAGCTACACCCATGAAGCATTTGCGGTCCATCCGTCCATAGTTGCCCCAAACAATAACCTGTGGAAGAGAGTCGTAATATAGAGTTAGAAGGTAAGACTCTAAAATATACTAAAATATATTCCTATAATAAAAACCAGAATGTTTATTTCCTGCATTTGTAATTACATATAGACTCAGGAAGGGATAGAATGCATGTTTACAGAGCCTACTTCAAGACTGAAAACAAAATAAAGGAATAAGCTTAATAAGCTGCCTTGCTCATCTGTACTAAACCCATCAGTCTTGATAGTTATTCTCTCTGGTACAGCAGCAGAGAGAAGAGTTAGGTGTCAATAAAACTAAATAAAGAGGTGCTGTGCACGAGAGAGAGGGATGATGGTAGTGTTTGGAATCCTGTGTGTGTTTGTACTTTTGTTGTCCTCTGCCTCCTGACATCCTGATAACATCAGGACTCATCTCAGACCACCCAGCAGCTTGTCAAGGAGTGGACAAAATAATCAATATCCTTCAGCAAATGTGTCCACTCATGTTTTGGTCTTGTGTGTCTGTACATCCCAGCACACTGATTTCCTTGGTATATGTTAGTGTGTGTCTGCAAGTGATTTCCACAGAGACTCAAAGGTCAAATCTATTTCAACCTAGTCTTCTGCTTTTCAAAGAAGGATAATCTATTTCTTTTTCTGATTTTTCTTCAAAAAAGATCTTAACCTTAACCTCTACAAATTAGGAAAGAGACATTGGTAATGGGAGAAGTGAGAGTTAAAACAGCAGAAACCAGTTGTTTGTTAGCTATGGAGGATAACATCTGCAGTGTCCAAGATCCAAAGTTTGCACTCTCTAGGAATAAGAGAAATGCTCGGAGAACAAGGCAGAATCAGTGCTAGATCTCACTAATGTTTCTGGGCCCGAATGGGAGCAAATCCCTCCAGTGGGAAGCTTTCTTAGGCAGCGTAAACAGAAAGATTAATACCCATTATTTTGGAATAACCACTAAGTTTAATAACTGTTTGAGGGTCGTGTCAGAAGAGATTAGGTTAAGACAGGCTGAATTTGAACACTGATGCCAGGTTGACGTTGATCTATAAGCAATGGCACTGGACAGAATTACCTCACCTTGTTAAGTAAGGGTATGTTACAATAAATATTTACATGTCTGTGGTCTAGCATATAAAAGTCACATATAACCTAGTGAGATTATTCCAAATAGCCAGCATGTCATTTTCTAATCCGCTGACAGTTTGACAGCAGAACCTCCCCCTAGTTTGAAGAGACAGCTTAATAATAAATGATTGAAAAGAGTCAGATAAAAGACACATACTGGAAACATACACAAAGTAAACCCTGGATCTGTTTTTAATAATAATCAAAGAAAGAAGAAAATAACTGTAGTATAAATTTAGGAATTCAGTAACAGCTGCCACTCATTTTTGTTGTTTTGTTGTTTATTGACACCGAGTAAAACATCATCTGCCTTTAACGACTTCATTTCAGATTCCAAAATGCTTGTTGTGTTGCATCCTCTGCTTCCGGTTGTATTCTGTGTTATTTTACTTTGTGCCTTGTTGTGAACATTAGTTCATCGTGGCTTTCTGTGCTGTGCATCACCTCATTGTTTCCCTTTTACATTACTGTCTTAAATCTATCCCCCCTCAGCCTTCTTCCTTGTAATACCCTCATGTTTCTGAGTCTCCCTGGTTGTTTTCTCCTCCTGACTATATCTTTTCTTGAGCTCATTGCTTTCAATTTTTTTCACCATGTTGGACTCATCTACCTCACTGTGCAGTGTTTTATATTAGTATCACTGTAAATAAATAAAGCACAATTTCATTCTGTCACCCACGCAGGCCCTTGGTGTTCACTTCAAGTTATTTTTGGCAGTGTGACAAATGAAGTCTCATTTTAGTTAATTAACAAATCATTATAAAGTGATCATGCAGGGTGGTACTCTATTTAACAACTTTTATGCCCACCCCCTAACCATGAATTTGGTGAATCATTACACACTTTGTCGTCATGCGCCATATAAAATCTTAATTTACCCCTTATAGCCATGCCTCATTTATAAAATGTTCAGAATGGGGACATGGGAGAATGTTTTTTTATGATGTCAAAATAAAAGTTGACAAACAGCTGTTAGTTAGATTTCGCACTTGATATGTTTTGGAAAGGCTGGAAAAATAGCTGAAAAAGCTGAGAGTTGGTTTTGGGCACAAGTAGTAAGTTTCTCAGTGACTTTTTAGTGTAGACTTAAGCAGCTTTTTGCTTTGCTAGATCAGTAAGTGACAAATTGAAAAGTGCTGCTGATTTCAGCGATTTTCATTATCCAGTGTGAATGAGTTTGATGAAACTCGAAGGACAGCGACATGACAGCAGATAATTAAGAGGGAGGCGTTTAGTGGCTAATTACACAGTGACGGGAGCAGCAGAGCAGCCAGAGCAAGAGCTGCAAGTCTCTCCACTGAACACTATACTATTTTTACCTGCTGATTACTGATGGCAAAAAAATACATAAAAGGGTAATATTCTGGCAGTTGAGACGCCAGAAAAAATGCTCTAAAATAACAGAAATGTATCATTGCATTAACTTACATCAACTTTCTGTAATTAAAATGTAGTTTTTAGCTTTAAGTTACATGAGCTCTTGTGTATTTTTTGTCTGTTTTATGTTAAATAGCGGTATTTACTTGTTAAAACAGTTACCTAATAATATAGCCAAACACTGCTATAATATAAATACCCAGGCCAAAAATGACAGAATATTATTGTTATTAGTTGGAATTTTTTTCAAAATCGTGTACATTTAATCCCTATTAAATGTTAGGAAAAAGATATACTATGCATAAATAAAATTGAAAACACTTTTATAAAAACTATTAAGTGGATTTATCATAACAGCAATGGCCTGGTCTTTACATGTAATTTTACATACATGTATAACTCTTGAATATTTACTAAATCTGTGCTCCCACAAATACTTATAATAGATTTGACTTTTTAAAAAGGTATTTTTGACATTTTTTCATGCTAGATGACACAAAATGTCAATGGATGCTAACTTTGGATAGCTCAGTAGGTAGAGTGGTGGCCCCATGATCGGAAGGTCGGGGGTTTGATTCCCCTGAACAGCTACCCTGAGGTTCCCCTGAGCAAGGTACCATCCCTACACACTGCTCCCAGTGGCTGCCCACTGCTTCACTGAGTGAATGGGTTAAATGCAGAGAGGGATTTTCCCCACGGGGACCAATAAAGTACACTTTCTTCTTTCTTCTTCTTGAAGCACCTCCAACTTTGGCCCACTGTACTTCTTATTTAGCACTTTCATAAAATATTGAATGGTTCCATGATATGATTAGCCTGCAATAGAATCAGCATTCTCTGTATTTTCTGCTGATGCCCAAATTGAATGTTCTGTGTAACGAACTGCATGGCACGTCAAGTTAGGTGTATCTTACCTGGACCACTTTCCCCTGTGGACTCTCAGAGAAGACCAGGACCTGGTTGTAGAGAGGATCCAGAGATTTTCTCACTGATTTCGTCTTCTTCTTGGCCACACAGATTCCATTCTCCAGAAGATAAACTTTAATGTAGGCTGCTAGAATGACAGCAAACACATAGATTTGACTGATTAATTTCTAGTTTTTCAGTATATGATAAAAAAAATATGCTCATCTTGTTGAGACTAAAAGATCTTCCAACATACTGTCTGGGCATTTGTCACATACAGTGTGTTTTGAACAGATGCTATAAAATAATGACTAACAAATAATGCTGTTAAAAGTGCTGTTTTGATATGTAGAACTAAGCAGGATAAACAGCTAAATTTCCCTTTGTTTAAAGTGGCCCAAAAAAAGGTGAAACACCTTGGTCACTTTATTACTGAGCAAATGAATGATGATGATGACATATAGAGACAACGGTGTAAGCTCTATGTGCAGGCAAATACTATTGCACGCAAATTCAGCTTTTGTTCACTTCCAGTTAAAGTGGCTTTGTTAAAGCATATTGTACACTGCTATATACTGCCCCCCTTGTGGTCATCCTACAAACAATGTAGCATGCAGAAGCTGCATGTTGCATATAATGATGCGATGAGAATCCTTTGCAGGATACCTAGAAGGGGTAGTGCCAGCCAGATGTTTGCAGCTGTGGGTGTTTGGACTTTTAAAGCACTTTTAAGAAAGTTAATGTTCAATTTTAGAGAATGACTGGATGGTTCGAGTAACAGTATAATTTTAGCACTCGCAGATCCGACAGTGAGTGGTTCCCGTTACTCATCCAGTCTGAGAAAGCACTGGTTGAAGTGTTTGTGTATTTATTGATTTCTTTTAAGTAATTGTGTTTTAGGTATATTACGGTTTTATATTTTTACAAATGTTTTATATGTTATATATTTATTTATATATATAAATATATATATATATTTTTTTAAAGTTTATACCTTGTGTTTTGGGGAGGGGGAGGGCTTGTGTGTGTGTGTCTCTGTCTTGTTTCTATGGACATGAAGTCTGCCAATAAAGATTGAATTGAATTGAATTGAATACTCCTTATAATGTACAAATGGAATTTGGAGGCTGAACTGAGATGAACCAAACAGTTGATCGTGTCAGTACTGAATTGTGAATGAAGCTGTAATGTTGTATAATCACATCAACAAGCCTAAGATGAAAGCACAACACATGAATGTGTAACCCTCGAATGTTCTAAGATACCTGTGGTGATGCTCCCATCTAACCTTGCAAAATACAGGCTAGGGAACAAGCTTATTGTTCAAAATTTTGCTGTTCACAGTGACCAGAAAGTAAGGAGAAAGTTCTAATCATCTGTATATTTTGAAAAGAAAAATGATAAAAACTGAAAACTATGATTTATGATCATTTATGATCACTTGACCAGCTGTCAGAATAAAAGCATCTACTACTGTTTGTACAGGTTTAAAGAAGAAATATTGGCTAATAATAACATATGGTTTTGCTAACAGCATTCTAATGTAAGTTTACAGTACTGGTGCTTACACACACGTCACAGCTTTCTGTCTAGTGTGCTGATAACAGGATAGAAATAATTCAGACACTGGCACACTAAAATCTGCAGGCAAAATCTCACTTGTCTTTACACTGTACACGGAGTTCCTTTTATCTCTATCCCTCCCTTGTCATGACCATGTTTTTCTTTCAGTTACAATATACTGGTCTATGCTGATTTGTTTGCTTTCCTCTGTTTATTTTCCTATTCTCTTTTATCTCTCCTTCATAGTTTTTTTTCCAGGTACTTTTTGTTCCATTTCAGTGAAGGTGTTTAGCTCTTATGCAGTTGGGATTCATGCCTGCTTTAGTATTGTGCAGCGGTGAGGTGCTACAATCAAAGTCAAGAATATGATCATTCTGACCAGAGGAGGCATTTAATACTGGACTGTATCTTTGGATTAAAATCTGAAGTCAGAGCATCAAGATGCACATTTCACTACTGCATGAGCAAAGACAAATGCAGTTGTTACTTATTTAGTGCATCGCCTGCTTCTGCTCCATTCCCCCCCTTCACTCGTCTATTTTTTATATTGTCAAGCACAAAAAGTATGTTTTTGGAAGCTATATCCCATTAGTATTAAATATGCCCTACAGGCTGTTGTGTATGTGAAACTATTTGCTGGCTTGTAAAGCATTCATGTGGAGTACAAACAGAAGTAAAGCAGCTTTATAAATGTTAAATTTCGACTCAAAACACCTCACGTTATGGTATAAATGGTATTCTCTGAAAAACAGAGCTCAAAGACTGATCACAGACAAACCTGGAGGTCCCTTTGAACCTGGTTTCATGGTGAGGCCTCTGGCCTGGACGACCTCCACCTCCAGTCCCCCATTCCGCTCCATCAGTCCAATCTCTACATCACCTGATTGGGTGAAAAAATGAGGTTAAAGGAGGTGAATATTAGCCCAACAATTAGTAAATAGTTTTAGAAGAAGATACTAAAATGGATGTGAGACATAATCGTGTAAGATCACTTGGTAACTTCAAGTCAGTTGCTAGACATGTCCAAACTATCCATCATGTATACAAATGTACATCCTGCACTGGTTTGTCAAATGCCTTTTACACATTGTGACCATGGCCGTGTCATATTATGAAGGTGATTCTGAATGAGAAGCCAGTCACACTGTATGAGCAATCACAGAAGGATCCTTTGACTTATGTCCTATTTTACTTTGCATGGGACCATATCCTACTAAATTAATATCTGACTGCATCAAATAAGTGAAACTAGAGTACGAGACCATAGTTTCACTTATTATTTTCTCAAACACTCTCTAGACCTCAGTTCAGTTTGACTTCTTTGCACAACCAGAGAACCAGAGAAATGGCTCTGGTTGACCATTAGAAAGAATAAAAGGACTTGACACATTAGCATTCCTTTTCAGACCCAGAACCCAAATCCATTTTTTATATACGATCCAACTTCCAAACCAAATCTTGGAGCCAAGGGAAAGACGGTCCCAAAGCAAGTTCAGTTTACTGTAAGAGCAAAATACTGCATCACATAGAGCACACTTCTCTCTGTCCAAACGTTCTGCATATTATGTTTTCTGTAGCAATAAACCCAACCAACAATAAAAATCATGGTAAGTTACTTATTAATAGAGTAATAATATAAAGGCTTAATATAAAAACTATTTAGAGATTCTGAAATATCTTGTTGGTCTCCCAACATCAAGCTCCTTGAATTATGTTAAGCAAAATGGTGTGAACTTCAATACAAGCATCTCTGAAGCTTTCTTTTTAATAAGTCATGGTTTTGGTTCAGTCTTAACACTATAATTTATCCCAGTCAGCTGGCTCCTCACAGAAAAAAGCCATAAAGACAGTAAAACATGTAAGAGACCAAGCTTTTACTGCTAAATAAGTAAATATATCATTCATATGTACTCTCTAATCATAGCTCTGTCTGCGTTTTCTTCCAATAATGATCTGCATTTTTTATATTAAAATTGCGTGCACATTGCAATAATTTCTCTCATTAGAAGTAACTTTGGAATAAAAGTTTTAACTAAATGTCCCCAAAATGACAAATGTATTCCTTTGAAAGTGACACAGCTCAGATGAAAGCCAAGTTATTCTGGGTTCTCTGACATTATATAATGTTGGACCAGGCAGCAGGTTTGGAGTGGAGCTGGTCCAGTCAGTGTCACTGTTGTTGGGCCAAGGACACTGTCTGGCTGCCAGTGAGAAAACTGACCCACTTACAGTAAATCACTGCTATAGAGGACAGACTTCATGCAATATATCCAGTATATACAGCCTGGAAATGAATAAGTGAAGTGCTGGAGATGATGAGAAAAACAGTAAGACGGCTGATTTGTGAGGCACTTTCTTTGCCAATGTAAAATGATTTTAAGGAACCATTTGGTTCAGTTTTATGAGTATAAAGCATTTTTTTTCTTTTTAATTTTCTGACCCAGCCTGTATATCAAAAATGGAAAACACATTTTTATTCTACAGAAACAGAAATGTAAGAAATTGAATTGGCTGTAGCAAAATAATTAAAACTCCAGTCTTCTCTTACCCATGGATGTTGTCGCCAGAGTCTGTCGCCCAACAAACTGGGCTGGTCCCATCCCATCCAGGAAGTCACTGAACTGAGCATCGGATGCCAGACACATGCCACTGTAGTTAAGACTGCAGAGGGAACAAAAAAGCAGGCAGACAAAGACACGGATGGTTAAACATGACCAGACAGTGCTTAATGCAGTTCAATTAGCAGAAGAAAGTGAGTGACTGAAAGATAATGAGACAATGGAAGAGAGGAGTAACAGAATAGGGACAAAAGCAATCCAGAGGAATAACGAGATAGGGACTGAAAAAAAAAAGAAAGAAAGAAAGAAAAGGCTGATAACCGAATACCATTTATCACTCCCCTTTCAGGTTAGTTAAACTCACAAAATTTTAATTGGCTTCCTGAAACTAGGCTCAGATGTTGGCTCTAGAGTTTGACCCCATGTGTCCTTATTTTGTGTGGTTTTTATGTGTATACAAATCAGCTCAAAGTGCTTTGGTGGCAAACAGCCAGGTAGTAAATATGTGTGTGAGTGTGTGGGTTTATTTGTTCTATGAGCAATAGACGACAGCACTTTTCTTCCATTGCTCTACGAGTCTAACATGATGTGTAAATAAAACATACCAATACACTCTCAAAAGTAGGAGCATAGTAAAAGTCAGTTTTCGTCCCTACAGTTTAAGTCTACACAGATATACCCCTCAAGGCTAAAAGCTGGACCTCCACTGTGTACCAAAAACATCCCAGGCAGCAGTGATGTGTCATGATTTATACATTTTAATGACCTAATCACTGTGACTTTCACCTTGTAGTTAGTTAACACAATAAAAAGGACACCTTTCAGCTATCTTGTATTTTTAAAAAAACATTAATATAGTTCACTAACAGAATAACTTCTTTAACTAAATTCAGTGTTGTGGATATATTATTTGAATATCTGAATATATTTGATAAGTAATCAGTCTTCTAAAGAAACAACATTATGTAATGCTGAAGAACCAACACGAGTCATGAGTAAATTATTACTTTCAACCCTGTCTGAGCTACCAGCTTATTTTCATAGAGGTTATCCTTGCTTCTATGAAAGGACTGAGACAGTGACCTCTGTCTCTGTGCTGGGGGTCAGGGTCAGGGATTTACTTCCTCCTCTCTTCATTTCTTTTGCTGCTTGTTCCAGGACAAAGCTCTCTTTTCATGGACTTTCATGTCTTTGTACAAGTTGATGGTTTTACCACAGTAGAGAATAGCCTGCATGCATCACTGTTTGCAGTGTTTTCATTTACAGCTGTAATGTACTTCTCACTCACTGCAGCATGTCGCTGCTCAGTGCTGAGCCACGTGATCACAGGAAAACTAAACACAGCAGAGAAGGGAGGAGGAGGTGGAGCACAGTGTGCCTGCATGACAGGAGCAGTGTTTATGCTGGTATCGATCCAATACCAATACCAGCGATGGTATCGGTACTATCGATATTTAGATCGCTCTACCCACCTCTACCATGATGACAAACTGCTGTACCTCTAAAGGGCCATTTATGCAGAAAGTGAATAGCAGTAATGTAGCGTCTATACAGGGTACAATAATTTTAACAAATGACAAGGAGAAAAACACAATGGTGACATTGGAGTAGACAGGTCCCTGGTTAAACTTTTCCAACTTAGAGTTAAGCGACTGAAGAAATTTCCAATGAAAGCAAAGTGACTGGACCACACTGGACCACCTAGAAATGGCATTACACCCTCAGGAACTGGAAGCGCCTTGTGCAGATTTCTGTGTTGATTTTAATTCCAGAGGAAGTTTGGAGCTCTCCAGTTACTGAGTCAGTTGAGTGTTGGTGACTTTTACGCACTATGCCCCTCAACACTTGACAATCCAACTCTGTTGCTTGTAAAACACTGGCCAAAAGTTGGGACACACTGCAAACTTTTGCCTGGCACTATATTTGTAGTAAAATGCATGCATGCATTTTTGAAGAATTCATTTAAATCTGTAGGAACTTGGTATGTTTAAAAAGAGGCCTATGAGGCAGGCAGTGTTTGTATGCCTTTGAATGGCACTGTACATGATGTAAAAGGTCACACAGACATACTGTATATATATTGTATCTGTATCTGAGGTGTGAGTGACAATTGTGAGGGTAACACAACCTTGAAACACGCATAAAATTGAACAATGAACTTTTCGCAACTTGGACGGTGGCAATAATTTAATTTAACGACAAATGTGCAATGTGACTACTGGTTCTGTGGAGAATTTATTCATTACTCAAAAAACATTTAAGAGAGTGGGGAAAGTAGTATATGTCACATAATTCACCATTCTCTAACAGCCACTTGGAGCCAGTGGCAGTCAACCCATTCTGTCGTTTAGTTACGAGGACATGTTGGTTCTAAATAAAGTCATTAGCCATGTTCCCAACCAGAGACTGAGCAAAGAAAGACAGGAAAGATTAACTACACACATCCCTCTCTCACTGTCATTTCTTTTCCTTTCACCTCTCCTCCTTCTCTCCAGAGCTCTCATTAGTCTCTTTCTTTCCTCCTTTTTCTCAGATTATGCAGTTTGCAGCTGTTTCGAGCCCCACGAGATAACATTCTCTCCTTGTCTCTACTTTTATCTCTTTTCCATACCCCTCTCTTCTTCTTCTTCCCCTCTTTAACCTACATGTTTTTCCACCTTGCCTTCACTTTGATATTTTATCATACTTTATGGTTGCTCAATTTTAAATTATCCCCACTCTCACAAGAGTGCTTGGGTGCACATATAAGGAACAAATCATTATATATTTTTTTAAACTAGACACTCCATGCTGACTTTGTCTTCAGTTATTAGATTGTTCGAGCAAAGTCATACAAAAGCACAAAGTCTAACCTTTAATACTAACTGCAAACCGAGTATGCAAATGCTTCATTACAAAATAATTTAGAAGTCGTTCAGTGCAATAAAGGAAAGCAATTATTTAAATTAGTAATTTACATTCAGGTGGCAGCATATAATAAGTAATGACATGTCAATTTTAGGGGATGAAAGATAATCCCAAACTCTCATTTGCATCTCGTTACTTTATCTTTTCCCCTGTGTTGTTTGTATACATCCCATGGACGCTTGGGATCTGGGAAGTTTGGACACCAGATCAGGATCTTGAGCTTTTTGTTGTGTAACTTCAAGTCATTCTTGGACAGCTTATGTGGTGCATTGTCCTTCTTGGAGAAATTGCATCTGAAAAAAAATATTTAAGTGGGTTTTAAGTAACATGCACAAATACCAGGAGGTTTCCAAACAGAACCTTGCATTATCATGTAATGATCAACATTATTCACTTCGAGTGTCAGTGGTTTTATGTTGTAGCATGCTGGTCTATGTATATCACAGCATGTTTTTTTTTCTTCTTTTGTTTTGTTTCTGTGACCATAATGCATGAATGTAATATGCAAAGTATTAAAGTGCTGCATATATGGAATTAACATAATACATCAATTAATATGTTTGTATACTGAAGAAATTACATTCCTAATGAGGTAAAAACCTTTGTATATGTGTATCATGAGTACCCATGCAAAGATATTAGTCAAACAACATTAGCTGAGTGGGTATTACTGGGTGATAAATTCCTGAGCTTTAGATTATGTTAGTGTGTGGGGCACATCTGGGGATTACACTGCTGTTTCGCAGAAATATGACGTTCAATGTAAACCGCAAGTGGGAAACCGATGGGAACTTTGCATAAATATAAGATCTCATACTACTCAGTTTTTTGTAATGCACTGGAATTTAGAACAACAACAACCTTTCATTAAAGTTAAATAAATATGGAAATATATTTGCAGATTTTACAAATATATTGGTAAAAAAAATCTGTCTTTCTGTTGTTAAAATATCATTTGAACAGAACTACATTTATGTTTTCTGTCATCATTGTCATAAGCTCCACACATACTGCACTAAAATTTAAAGCGTCACAGCTGAAGCACTGCTTTGCACATCTGACAAAGGATTGGTTGTCAGAAGTACATTATAATTTTACAACATGAACCCAGTAAAATGTCAACATGTTTTTTCCTGGATATTTTTTAAAATGATGTCTCCTTTTAGAAAGAGTCACAGTTGTGTGTCTCTCTTACACAAAGACACGCATTTCCATTTACCTCAGTTTCCACAGTGAATGTGTGCGTGCATTGGATCCTGAATGGCTCCCACCATAAATCAATAAGCTCATAAGTGTGATTGGATGGTGTTAGCTAACAAAGTGCTTATTCATGACTGTGCATAGAGAATGATGGAGCTTTTCAATCAGCAGACTGAGCCAGACAGCTGACGTAAAGACTGAAATACAGACAGGAAGACGAGCAGTGGTTTGCTGCGGATGATTTAAATGATGCAGTGAGTCAACTGTTGCCAGCTTAATGAGTCAACTGTTGTTCCCTTTAATGTTTTGTTGCTTGCAGCATGGTGCATGCACAGATTTTAAAGGCCCCTTCTGTTTCTGGTTTTATATAATTTATTTAAGGGATTTTTAATGTGCTTTTAATATATGAAAAAAAAGAACTGAAAGAAAAAACACAATCATGGAGAATAGAGCTGAACATACTGGAACACCAGTTAGTTACACAATCTATGTGATCTGGTATCTTTTGAACATTGATAGCATTGATTTCCCCAATGTATTTTCCATGTGGGTTATGTTTACAAGAATTATTTTTCATTAACACAAATATGTACAAATGATGTTCATTTCAGTTTGAAAAAGACAATGATCAGTCACAGGATTTAAGACAGAAATATATCTTCCTTGTTCTTGTGTAGAATTAGGGATGTCAAGCATATTGACATTGTTTTGGAAATCTTAAAATGGGAGATAATATAAAGTAAAAACGTATTACTATGGAGCTTGTCTGTTTATCTATATTAAACCAAATAACAAAATACAGAGAAGGTAAAATTCTTTAGATTTCTGTCACAACATACACCTTTTTATCTTGCACAAAATAATCAATATTGAACATTAAAAAAACCACTTGAACTTACCTCAATATGACGACACTTACACTAAATGGAAAAAAGTCCTGGGCGACCTGAGTTGTTCTGAGCTATTGTGTAAGTTATCTTTTGTTTACATTTGTCATATCAACCATGTATAGTATGAACAAAGATGGTAATGGAGCCTGGTGAGTCTGCAGGGCACAGCACTTTGGGACCATGAAGAACATTCTGGGTGTTTTCATAGGATAACAAATTTTATCTAATATTAACCATGTTTCATGTCACATTTGTCAGGGAACTGGGTCTGTGACCCACTATTTTTGAGGGGTTTTTTTTAAATTGTTTTTGCAAAACAATTCAAATACATTTTGGTGGTGCATGTCGACATTTTTATGTCGGACAATCACTTCAATAGAAATACATATCAGCAATGTCTGTGACCTAGGTGGCATTGTTTTTTAAACTATTTTTAAATTAATAGTGTGTGGTATAAGTGGTAAAAGGCAGAGCTCCATTTAGGTAAGCTAGACAACATACGACGTGATGCGATGTGTGCTGTGTTTTCAGCTAAAGTGACTTGGATGTGGAAGAGCAGTAAAGACTGCAGAGTTTGAATAAGCTAAATCAAAGAGCCTCGTGTGAACACAGATTTTCTTGCACTGTTTCTCCTTCTAAAACTCTCTTTGTCATTTTTTTTTATCTGTGCCTGTAATGCCTTCATTAATTTTTTTTTACCTCACAGTTATTAAGGCTTCACTGTGGACTTCTATGAAACAATCAATTAGGTTGTCTTCTTCTTCTTTTCATATAGTTGTGTATGTTGGCTCTGACTGACATCTTCTGTTTGATTTATTCATCATTAAAAAAGGATTTGCTTCTGCTACTAAAGAATAAATAAGCTAGCATCATTAAAATCCAGCTAATGTATTCGTTTTTTTTCCATACTATGCAAAGTAATCCATGTTTTTAAGCAGAAGCTCATAAACAACGTATTTGCATATTCCAAATATAAATGGAATATTAATATGCACGCAAACACACTCAATGATGCAATCATCCTCTCGTTATTTTCATCCCTCCTCTGTTCCTCTGTAAACCCTCCCAGCCTACATCAGTCTGTCTGACTTGTCTTGTTATGTAACAGTAGGAATTCAAGCTGGTAGCCAGGTTGGCAGTTATCTGCATGTGTCCGTGTGTGTGTGTATGAGTGTGTTCAGTAGTACTACACTATTACTGCTGATGTCATAGGTGCTCTGTATGCTCTCTCTCTCTCTCTCTCTCTCTTCCTGTGCATCAAAGACATTGCTGATGTTTTTCCTGTATGACAGGTAATAGAAACACAGCAACACGAGGAAGAAAATAACCTGAAAACACAAAGGCGTGACAGCATCTTCTGATTGCAAAACCTCAACCAAAGGAATCAAATCTCTGAAATTCCGATACACTAAAATATATTCCTTTTTTCATTTTAAGTTTGAATGAACTGAATTTGAATCCTTGCAAAAATGTGCTATTTTCAAAATAGTCTCAGTAGTTTTACTGATATAGTTTAAAGTGCAAATAGATCGTCCAACATCCAAAATGAATTCAGAAGAAAGAAGAAGAGAAATAACGAGTTAACATAAACCAGTGACACACTCCAGGGCCTGATCAACCCTGGTAGGGCCTCCTTGGATGAGGGTGTCTAGTGATAATGGCCGAAACACCCGATGAATCCAAGGTCCACTACTGACGATGTGACCCAAACTGGTAAAGTGTCTGGGCTGCCTTTCCTCATAACAGCCATCCCTCAAGATTTTCTCCATTTAAAGCAATGCATTATCAGGGACTGTAACACCTAGTCCTTTTGACTGAAACAAAAATCCAATCTACAGCCTAAAGTTTACGGGAAATTGTTCCTAAACAACTAAAATAAAGAAAGCCAAGTAACAGCAACAAAAACTACCATCGAAGGAGGGTAAAACAAAAAGAAAAACAGCTGTAAAAACATATTGCAGAGGACCTAATGTAATAAGTTTGTAGCAGGCTTTTTGTAATTTTACCAAAATGTGGATTTTTTGTGTTGGCTTTTGCTTAGTTTAGTTTTTTCAGACTCAGAATGCTGTATTTGTGGTTAAAATGGTATTTAATTAAAGCAGTATTTGTTACTTACTTCCCTTCGGAGCCATAGCTGTTCATGCTGTCTTCTATGGACTCGTGGCTAGCCTGGCGAACAGTTCGACTGGGCATCTCCACAGCCAGCCCCGTCTCTGTGCTCCTCTGGATAGCTCCCTTCAACTTCCTGCCATCTGTATCCACTGCAAGTAAGCAAACACACAAAAATAAAACCTGAATTCAGCTACATGTGAATAGAGTACAGTGTTGTGTATGTCTGCTAGCTTTAAAATTCTTACAGTTGTTTTAGTTTATACAATCCCTTGTTTCGAAATGTCTACAGTGTTGGTAATGCCGTTACTACGTAAGGATTTTCAGTTTTAGTACAGATTGATATTTACCCTTTTCTTGCAGTAAATCAGCTTCTAATTAAAAATTGACAAAAAGTCACTAAAATAAATAACCTTCAACTATTATACATCTCATCACATAAGCTGAGTACAATAAAACACTCAAATCAACTTTAAAGTAAGCGAGTGACTGCATGCGACTGGCATTTGTTGTGGCAGGATTTTCCTCTAGTTTCCGTTTTTAATATTTCATTTGTAGTTTGGAAAATACAAACAGGAGAGGATGTCAGGTTTGTTTGTGTCCCGCTGTGACCTCATCAGTGTCACACGAAAGACGACCAGAGAGATGAGAAATTTAACAAGGCCAAGGACAAAAGCACTCGATTACTCCTTAAAGCAGGGACATACATCTTGTTGCAAAGTAGCCCACAAAATCGATGTGTGGAGCACTTTATGGGACCACTCTCTGGCTTCAAGGTGTCCTGTGTGTGTGTTTGTGTGTTGATGGTGTTCATGTTGGTTTAGTTCATAATGAAGTGTTTTAGCAGGAGGTCTTTCGACCTTGTTTTTAGAACAGGACAGGAAAGATGTTTTCCTTTTAATGGTCAGGACACCCGCAAGGAAAACACACTAAGACAACACACATTCACCACAGTCGCTCGAATACATCAGCCTAAAACACATTCTAGACCATGCCACATTAATTTTGTGAAGCTGAGTGTTTTTCAAATAAATGCCAAACGTGATTAAATAACTGAATAAAGGGTAAAATCCCCCAAATGAAATACATGTCAACAAAAAGGCACCCACAGTCACACACTCTCACACACAACTACATGGGCACAGTACTGTGAAAGTTAGTTCTGCAATTATTAAAGAGCGACCTAGAATGGTGCTATTTCTATCGTGTTCAAGTGGGACGGGACGCTGGCAGATTTGGGTTACTTGCTTCTTCTTGCTGTCTGGTTTCGTATGATCAGTTATCTCCTGTGTTGGTCCAAAGATGCACTGTCATCCATTAATACCAAAGTCAGTATAGCGTGCAGTCCAGAAAACCAGTGAAGGTAAAAATTCAAGGCAGTGAAAATTTTTTTTAAGAAAAATAAAACATAGTACTGGTAGACAGAAGAAAGCTTTAATACTGTTCCACTTACTTAGCATAATTCATGTTGCTTTTAAGTTTTTGATGTGTAAGATCCCTTTTTTTCCTGCATTCACACAGCACTTCCTAGAATTTTGCTGTTTCCATATAACCATTTTGGATTTGATACTAACATCCAACAACTGTTTAGAGAAAAAGAAACGTAATATGTTCTTTGCATGACTAAACATGGGACATTGATTTTTCCTACTATCTAATTAAGATGTATCTACATGTTAAACAAGCATATTTTCAGAAACTAGACGATGTTACTTGGGAACTTAAACTCTACTCCAGACGACAAACAGGTCACAGACAGTCTTTAAAAGGTTTGACTGAATCAGTCATTGTCACACATCCCTTTCAGAATAATTTCTATCTTAAGTCTATGGCTGATTTCTGGGTTCGTTCCTTGTATAAAAGTTGAAAAAGTCTTGAGTGTGGTATGGTGGCTCAAGGAAAAAGTGTAACTACAGAGAACTGGGTAACACTTTGAAAATGCTGCTTCAAAACCTCACACCTGACATAAGCCAGGAATTTGATACCAATACCATGCTTTACACAGCACAAACTTCTATTAACCGATGAACCAAATTTCTAGTGCCACCAATTGCCTAAAAGCTGCACAAATTGAACACAATTCTCAGTAACTAAAGTTACAGCAACTGAACCTGATTCTTAGCCAAATTGATCAAACTATACCCGAACCAAAGCAAACAAACAGGACAGCCGAGTGTGGACCAAGGCCAGTTCACATATAGCCCTGTGGACTGAGTGCAAAAATGTGTAGCAGCAATAATCCTTCAATATCATAAACATATACAGGCACAAGTCAGTAATATGCATCTGCTGCAATTCATATCTCAAGCATTTATGTAATGTTTCCATTCAGAGAGATTTATATTATAATACAAGCTTAAAGCTCCAAGGTTATAAAGATAATGAGCAACAGAAAATTGGGTCAGAATGCAGATGTAATGCGTGTGACATGGTGAGCAACCTGAATATCCACATAAAAACCTTTAGAGTTGTAAAATAAGTTTCCTAATCCTAATCTTACCCGGCATCTGGATTTACGAGCAAACAAATCTGCTTTACTCCCAATCCTCCTGCCAAACTATTGTGGTAACAAGAGTCACAAGTCTTGCCAGTCTTTACTAGTATCTCCATTAAAAGGCCTTTATGAAGTTTCAGACTTCTAGCAAAATATTGCTGAATAGTTTATGCTTGCAATGCCTTTCAAATGCTGTGTAACACAAACAATTTGTATTATTTGCTGTTCGCACAACTTTGCTAACTGCTAATGTTCAACACAGGTCCTCATTGTGTTTTATAGTAGATAGAGCAATAAGAGTATTTGAATGTTAGTCTGCTAATATTTGCTGGCTGAGCAGTGTTACATTTGCTGACTTTACTTGTATTGCTATGTTTTAGCTAGGCAGCTTTACTCACAAGTGCTTTTAACCAAATCTACCTGTCGTTTCTAAAAAATAAGTCCTTTCCATTAGTTCACTTCTGGCTAAATCCTCTTATTGGATAGTGTCACTCTTTGTAAGATATTGACGGCTAAGCAAAGACATTCACTTTGCTTGTGTTTGAATTTGTGTTCTAAAAAGATTCTAACAAAAAAATTGGGCAAGAAGCAACTCCTGCCACTTAGCAGCCATCTTGTAAAATGAAAATGAAAAAGTAACTCAAAAGTTCTCTTAGTTTGTCATAGAAAAGGTTTAGGAAGGTTTTTTGTCTCTTTTTCTGTACAAGTTTGAATTCTGTTTTACATGAGCACATTTATAGAGCTTTATTCATGACAAGTCTCGCGTTAATTCATGTTATAGATCATTAAGCCAAGAAAAACAGTTACAATGAACAAGTTTTCTTTGTCTTTCTCATCTCTTAATTTACTGCTTTACTGCTTATTATTTACATGAACAGTGATGCACAAGTCAATGAGGAAGTGATTTGGGCACAGCTTGTGTCACCAGCAGTGACACGAATATGGTTGCCATGGACACAGATGCCATTACTATGGAGACTGCAGTCAAACCAGAGACAGTGGTGAGGATGTTCTGTGAGCATTTTAACACAGGGGCATATTATTAGCTTGCTTCAGTGTTTGTGTGCATGTTTCCATTATGTTGTTACGTTATGTAGACACAAAACTTGTGGAAACAACTTCTACTTGAGAACAAAATTCTGTTGGTAGAAATTCTTTGTTTTTAGGATAAAAACTTGGTTAAAGAAAATATTAGCTTTGGTTTGAGGTTAATATTATGGGCTAAATATGGTTATGCTTAAAGTGAGTCTACCGAAAATGCATTTAAGTTCATGTTAGGTCCTCTGAAGTAATGGAAACTAGATCGTGTGTGTGTGTGTGTGTGTGTGTGTGTGTGTGTGTGTGTGTGTGTGTGTGCGTGTGTAGCCTCCTGTCACCTCTTGTCACGGGTGGTGTATTGAGGTGGAGTAGAGTTACATAACTAATACAACAGGTGGGTAATGGCTGGAGACACATCTACCACTCTGGTTTGCTGCAACCCTTTTCATGCCACTGATGGGATATTATCTCTGTTCACTTCAATCCAATTGAACATGCTTTATCTGCAGCAGAGTGAAAGGCAATCTTGCCAGGCAATCAAGATAAAAGATTAAAATTTAGAGGACTGACAGTTTTTTTTATTTGCAGCATTTCTCCACTGATTTGTCCCCAACACTTTGCACAAAACATTAGGCCTGCGATGTTTTCTCCTTTCTCCTGCCTGCCCACATCTTTGCATCTCTTTCAGTGCTTTATAAAGTGAAGTCACATCAGTTACTGCCTGCTAACAAGTCATAAAAATGATAGAAAACCTTGCTACATATATACAGGCAACACCATCAGTCAAGACTAAACATGGCCTGTAACTGAACGGCAGAAAACTTTTAGCTGTATGCAGTTTTTCTTATTTTTTGACAATCAATTCGGCGACCAAAACTCACTCACAGGTCTGCCTTATATAGCCCAGCTGTGCCACAACTATGTGGCCACATCTGACATTTAATAGTTCTGGTACAGAGCCATTAGGATTTGTATAGGCCCAAATGTGCCTAGTAGACAGTTGGTGAAAACCAAAAATCAAAGCTGTGCAGTCATTCATTCTCATTAAAAATGGCTGACCTGCAGGATTTCAAAACATCAAACAGGTTGTGGATAATCAGTTACACACCTGTTCAAATGGCTTTCATGCCACAGTGGAACGTTTGTACTCGTTTTCTTTCTGCCTTGATGTTTTTTTTTCCTTAAAGCTTAAAAGAATTGACAACAGCCCATATATATATA